AGTGATACTGACACAGGCTTTTCGAGTCAATCCGAATTAGGCCACTTGGAATGTGAGTGAAACTGAGTAGGTACCAGTTGGGATTAGGAAAGTTGACTTTCCCCTTACTCCTAGTTTATAACAAGGATTGAACAGTTATCACATCTCTACTTACGATCATTGAGAAGCCTTCCCGTTCACATTCAATCTGTTTGTCCGTTTCAGTTGGATGCGAAGCTGCTGCCCAACTACCTGAACTGGTGGAATAGTCTGCGACCACGGAGACGGGACAACAATACCAATCGCCCATCATCTTCCACCTCCCATACCCTCTCCACGAATGTCTTTGTCGTATCCGGACCACTGTATCTCGTCTTCCGGATTTCCAGTCTCTTATGCATTTGTTCCCTACTAGCCGGACCGGCGGCTTATTCCGTGGCGAACAGACATTGTACCGTTCGAACAGATCACAAGTCCACTGTGCTAGATCGACTGATTATTCTTTCGGAACCAAAAGCCTTACGGACACACCTCTTTCCACATTGCGCAGATCTGTTACGATGGGCCACCTCGTTGGATATGCCTGTTCTGGGACAGTTGTGCTTCTGCCTACTCTGCATCGTTCTCCAGTCGGTTTTCATCCACAGGCATTGGGCATCTCAGAACAGCTCGAGGACCAGGGGAGTTTGTGCGTCTGTTCTGCTTCTGGACGTAATACTACTTTTGATTGTGAGCAATACAACCGTCTCAATTATTCTCCAAACCACTCTCAATACTGAGACCACAGCTGATCACAATCTATCCATGCGTTTCTGCGGGTATGCAGTCGTAGCCTTCATGGCGATACCGTTACTCTTCGGTGTCTGTTCTAGCCTGGTCACTTGGATCAGATTTTGTTCCAGTGACTGGAAGGCTCAGAAGCAGGTTCTAATAGAATCGTGGCCGAGTGGCAGCTCTTACGACAGTTGTACGAATAGATCTCAACTAGCCAACAGCCACTGCAATTTTTCCACTCGATCCGCTCATCCTGCTTACCATTGTGTTCGCAATTCTGACCCGCTGGAAGAGTTTGGTACGAGACTTCGAGTGTCAACCGACAAACCACTTTTTCGACCGTCCGTCTTCAGCTGTCCTCCAGCCTGGTCTCCTCGGTCGACGGCGTCCTTTTGCACTACACTGACCCCTTCCACAAAAATCGAATCATTTTATTCTTGTCCAGCTTTGTCTGCTTCAAATACACTCCCCCTGCTTCGATCAGACGGTTCGGATGCCAGCGATGCCAGTGAGATCACAAGCGTCAGTCGGTTGAAAAGAAAGCGTCCGTCAACTGTTTGCGGAACCTTTGTCACTCGACGACGCAAATCACGGAGGAGCTACCGAAAACGAAGTGGTCTCCTGCGTTTTTGTTTGTCTCTTTTGTTCGGCCGGATTGAAACTTGGGATGATCTGTTTGCAGAACTGGTTTGTTTGGCCAACGCGCTTCTTGTTGGCATTGTTATTTATGGTATGGGTCGCTTGTTTGTACAGCTGACAGAAGTATTCTAGTTCCTTCGGCTTTTGGGGGGCATTTATTAGCTGTGCGCACCCACATCATTCTGGAACCAGATTTGTGAGTTTGGCTGCACCTTTGTACAGTCACATTCTACAGACTCTTGAAGAATCGTACCACGGTTTTTGCTCTGGTTCGGCAATTATTGTTTTCCAACACATGATCGCGATGAAAATTTGTTTTCGGGGCTAACTGAGGTATATTTTACCAATAGTGTGAGGAGATTTGGTAATTTTTAATTGGGTTTTTGTCCTTCAAGTGAATTCAGTCAATGCTGAAAAGCTAAGAAGCACTGTACAG